TGACAACTCAGTTAACCGATGCATCGAGCTGGCGCCCGCATATGTTGCCCTGTGCAAGTATCTCCAGACTCACGGCACTGGTGGTCCGGTCCCTCCCTCCCTTCCTCCCCCTCCCTCCCCTTCCCGTCCCTGTGACGGTTAATTGCTCCCCCTTCCGCCCCTATATATGTTGCTTGCTTTCGTTGACGGTTAATTGGTCCCTTCAACCTATAAATGTTGCATGCTTTCGTTGACGGTTTTATCTCTGACGATGGACTCCCGCAAGAATTCGAAAGCTCAGACAAATAAAACTACGATTCCGGTAATCAAAACTACTTCTTCTCAATTTCAAATTTTTTCAGACCAACTAATATGATGCTTTTAACTAGCGAAAAGGCACTGTTATTATTTAAAACAAACAACCATAAAATGGGATAATATCCTAACCAACCATTTCAATTATTTCGACGAAACAGTGTCTCTTTTTCAGAGAAGAGGGGGCCCTATGATGTTGTGGACAAACTGAAACAGCATTGCGATTTAAAACACATTTCCATTAATTACTGGACCGAAAAACCTTCAGACAGGGAATTTGTAATAGATAAAACAAATGTCTTGGAAACTTAGTAAGCTGTGAATAGGCTTTGCTGAGCTTCTATTTAAAACACCATTCAAATAAAATATGTGTCCTATTTTTAGAAGGAATCTCAGTCCCACTACACGCTGGAAGAACTGTTCATTCGAGTAAACGTTATTGATTCACTGGCGGAGACCCAACAACGGAATCATCAGGATCTGCTTGAAGAGGTTTTAGATCTTAAAAAGCATCTTATAACCTCCGTAAGTGACATCCAAAGTTCAGACTCTTTTCAGCTTGGCCAGCAGTACTCACCCTTGTTCTCCACCCGCTAACATGTTCTTCTATCCCTACTGTTAAACGTTTCGCTAAATAGTCTGTTTATATATGTTGAGTTAGATATTCATTATTTTCGCGTTTCTTTAAAAAAGGCCGGTGAGCGCTATCTTACACAAACATGCAAAGCAACTCTTGACGCAGTAAGTCCAGGATTTGGTTACTTGATGGCATGTCTTCGATTACGCGAAATCTTGTTTCGCGCAAAACTGGCCGTCATGAAGGCAGAAGAGAAAAGCTCGCAAAAGCAATTGTTCCTGAGGTTTGTTTTCCATTTTACATGATGATTCCCTACACAAAACGTACTTGCACCCGAAAGATAATTGCTCTGTGGACATATAATAACACTGTCCCATTGTTTTCCTGATGAGTGTGCAAGCATTGACACTGAGGCTCTTTTTATGGAGACAAGAAGTGCACGCCAGTTGAGTCATGGCCGCAGACC